TGTCTTCCATTTTTTGGATGCAATAAACAATGTTTACTCTTTAAGCTCCTAAATTCAATGGGATATTATTCCTCTATCTCTTATCTTTCCAACTCCTTTTGAATCACCTCAATTAGTTATCGGGAGATTGAGATATGATGGTTTTACTGAAGACAGTGCAAGCTGGAATTTCTATTACAAGAATTTTATGCATGGATGATTTGAATGAGTTTAAGCCAACGAAGAGATGGTTCATATTTATCAAGGAGACAAGCAATTGAAGGCCTTCTTAATTCATACAATCAAGGCATTCAATGCATCATTATCATCCATTTGGAGAGGCTATTCGAATTCTTCATGGAGACAATCTTTCAATTCATCATTAAAAGCATCTTTATCACTCATTTGAAGTTCATTCAAATATTACAATGGATCATGCAATGAAGGCTGAATTATTTGACTTATTATTAGAACTATGCGATGAATATCAACATAGAATAGGAAGAGACACATTAATATGGACGACAAGAGTGTAAAAATTTACCCAATGTCTACATTTACCCTCTTTTATTTTTATAAGAAAGCAAGACAAGGCAATCCATAAGTCCTTCACCCTGTAGATGAAATTAAGGCTACATTCATCCTAAATTAAGTCCAAATTCATCCCAATAACTCTATAATATTTAGCCACATAAAGAGAGAAGACAAGACAAGCAAATAAAGTACATTAATCATCATTATGATGAAACATTCACAACAATTTGTAAGACTCTTCATATGGTGCCTATAAACACTATAAATAGTCACCTCCATTGCATTTGTAAAAACATATTTTTTTATTTATAAAACACTTCTTGAAAGTTTTCTTTCATTATAGTTCTTTGAAGAACTTTTTCGGCTTCAAGATCATCTTGTATTCTTCATCATTCCCATTTGATTATAGCGTTGGTTCCTAGCTCTTCTATAGCTAGTGGGTCACGTTCTACCTACTATCACTTCGTTTCCATATACTTTTGTTGATGGATCTTAACTTTCATATAGTTAGAGGTTCACAATCCATCTTCCTTCAGAATCACCTTATCCCACTCCAACACAATTAATCCTTCACCGTCTTCATTCACCTTCATTAAACCAAAACAATCATCCCTCTTCCATCACCTTAAAATAACTTCATCATAATCTACAATATTTCATTTTCAATTTACTTGTAACAATTTCCTTCTTATAAGATTTTTCATGCAATTTCAGAGTTCAAGCAAAGTGCCACTAGTTTCTTACTTGAATCACGATCATGTAACAACATATAACACTCGGGCCACACAACTGGGACCATATCATTTAGTATAAGAGCTACGATATTTTAGTAAGAAGTTAATTTTCTCTTTCTCGGGCTACTAAAAATTCATAAAATAAAAAAAAGTTTAAAGAGGAAGGGAGCAATCTTTTCATCTTTGAATTTTTTCAATAGGTTTACAGTTACATCGTTTTCTTATTTGCCTATTTACAATTTCTTTGCCCATTCTCACCATTTTTCTTTCTTTCTAGTCATTTTGTCTTTTACTCATTTTAGATCTCATACCTAGCCAAGTTTGTTTCATCCAAATTCCATGGGACACCTTGTAAGCACAGAGGAAGTTAAAAAAAGACTTGAAAAGGAAACAAGAGTGGTAAAAGTTAAGATTGCGCAATAAGGTTAAATGCCATCTCGAGTCAAACACGAGTGGGAGTAACTTTTCTTGATGTGTTTTGGTGAGGTCTTTTCATTGGTGAGATTTTGTTTTCTTTGTTTTACTAATTATGTCTGATCATTCGAGAGGTAATTCTCATGCTTGAGGACAAGGTGACAATCAAAATAGTGCTGGTGTACCAAATTTACAAACGCAAGCATTCATGAGTTGAGAAGGCTATGGAGGGAAGAATTTAGAACCATATGAAAAGAAATAAATACTCCAAAGCACTATTTAGGCTCAATATCTAAATTAATTCAAAGACCAAGAAGATATTATGTAGTTTCTCAACCGATGGAGTACATGTAAAAGAGAATACTACTCCAACTAAAAGGAACTTGCATCCAGATTTTAGATGCTATCATTGCTTGGGAAAAGGACCAAAACCTAGCCAATGTCCTAATTGGAGTGCTACAAAACCTAAAGTCTTATAAAGTTGTTATGAAGCATAAATAAAGGGAATAAATTCAAGTATAGGAAATTACACAAGTTAACACGAGATAAGATGAGAGCAAAGTTCCAACCAATGTAGATCTGAGAAACGAGATCTCTTTGGAGACACGTAGGTCTGATCTTTCTTTATTTTGCACCACTGATGTGAAAATTATTCCAAGTTCAAACTAAGGTGGAAATGAGTTTACATCCAAGGAATAATCCAAAGTAAAAGGAGCAAGCAAGTTAGAGTCTTTAATTAAAAGACATAGTTAATCCATGACCATTGCAATGACATTTATAAGAATGTTTGTTGTGTACCCAAAAGCAAAGGCAAAGAAGTCTCAATAGCAGTTCTTGAAACTGCTACTACCCCAATGAAGAAATCAAAGACAAGGACATTTGCATGTAAGAAAATGAGTGGAAAAAATAAGAGTGAAAAAGATGAGGGAAAGAAAATAAACATCTTTGTGAGAGAAAAATAAATTAAAAAAGAGGACGAGAGTGAGAAGTAAGAATGTGGAGGAGAAAAGGAGAAAGAAATCTCATCTTACAATAACCTTTCTTTTCTTAATTTTTCATTAATGCAGGATGTTAAAAATGTTTCCAAATGCATTTCCATTCATGAAGATAATTCAACATGCTTCTTGTGTCAATGATACAATTGGTGAAAAATTTTCAAAAGATGTTTCAAGGAGGTTTTCCATTATCAAGCAACAAGCACCCATTAGGGTCATCAAACATCCTCCATGGTATTTCTTTTGTTATCGGATTATCTAGTTCTAACCTTTATTTATTTTTTAGAGGGATGATTCAAAAAAAAGGAATTGATGAAATGAGTTGTAAGAATAAGTTTCTTTACAGGCATGAGATGAAATTAAAACTTTCAATTATATAAATGAATGATTTGAACCAAATCTATCCACCTATCTAGGAGTCATACTTCTTCGAGATGATGAACCAAGGAACATGACTTTTGGTGGACCAAAAGATGTGATACTTGAAGCTCCAAGTGATGTTTTTTTACACTCCGAGTGCATTGCAAATCTTGAAAGGAATTCAGTAACCTCCATATTTGGGTGAACCAATGGAGTTTTCCATCAGCAAACAACCAACAACCATTAAATATTTACCATGTTTTGCCATTTTTTCCATTTTATTATAAGTTTCTTTCCTTCTAACTATGGTTTTCTTTACTCCAAATTTTCTAACAAAAATGGTGTATCTTGCCAACCTATTGTGTCAATTTCGTTTTTCATTTGGAGATTTATTGTTGCATCAAAAGTAGGGCCAACTTACATGAATACATTTTTCCCAAGAATAACAATTTTAAGGGGATGAAACTTTCTATGTAAAAAAATCTTACTTTCTATTGAGGTTTGTTATTTTATCGATATTTTTTTATTCAAGGATGAATCACTTTAAAGAGGAAGAGAATGATATGAATCTTGATATGTTCATTACATCATTTTCTATAATCTCCTCGAGAACATTTGATCGAGGCAAGTTGTTTACATTCAAGAATCTTCAAGAAGCTCATTTGAGCTTAATCTGAAAATTTCAAACGAAGTTCAGATTTTTGGAAGAATTTTTCAATTTAAAAGAATAACCTTCCCCATCATACTCAAGCCTGGGACGTGAAGAAGGAACAACAAAGTTAAAGGGATCACTTCTACCTTTTAATTGTACATTAACTTGCTTGATTTCACTTGTTCATGAGATTGCATGAACATTATACATATTAGTTTATTTAATTTACTAGAATAAATATGTATGGTTGTTCATTAAACAACGAGTTCATTAAAACATGTATGTTTTTTTATGAAGCTACTTCATTTAAGTATGTTGCCTTATTCAATAAAACTAGTTCATTAATTAAACTAGTTCCTTTAAATGATTGCATGACATGTTTGTTTTTAATTTGTTTTAATGCATGAATATGTATTCTTTTGAGTCTAGGTGCATGAGGGAAGCTCAATAGTCGTAACAAAAGTAAGAATATCAGTCAGAATGTCTTCCATTTCTCGATGTGACATAGAATGTGTACTCTTTTGGGTCAAAAAATCAATTGGATAATATTCTTATATCTTTTATCTTCCCAACACCTTTTGAATCAGATCAATCCAATATCAGGAGTTTTAGATATGATCATTTTACCAAGGACAGCGCAAGATGGAATTTTCATTATGAGAATTTTATGCATGGGTTATTTGGATGAGTTTAAGCAAAGAACGAGACTTCTCAAATTAAGAAAACAGACAAGTAACTGAAGGCCTTCTTTATTCATTCAATCAAGATATTCAAGGCATCATTATCATCCATTTGGAGAGGCAACTTGAATTCTTAATGGAGACAAGCCTTCAATTCATCCTTAAAAGCATCTTTATCACTCATTTCAAGTCCATTCAAATATTTCAATGGAGCATGCAATGAAGGCTGAATCATTTCACTTATTTTTACAATTATGTGATGAAGATCAACATGGATCAGGAAGAGACACGTTAATTGTCACACCCCAATCTAAGGGTTAAAAATTTTAGTATAATATTTATAGATGTAGTCTGACTAACATGTTGGGTTAACAAGGAATTTTGAGAAGGTTGAGGACTCTAAGTATAATTTTTCCTTTCTTTGGTTTAAAGGATTCTAGAATTCACGTGAATTCTATCCACTTTGATTGATGTGAACTTTATTATTTTATTCAAAATGTTGGAATCATAAATTGATGAGATTTTTTTTAGTGTTGATAGAAAACGCATCTCAATTTCTTTACTGTTTCTGAAGCTCATCTCAAAGCCCTTATCTTCAAGCTCAAAATCCCCAAACAACCAATGTTTTGAACCAAAATACTTTATTGCTTGAGCGAAGATGCTGAACCTGGAATGTCATATGTACGAAGCAAAGTATCCGGAGGTGAATATGGCGGTGATGATACAAGTGAAGAACATCACCGACATGGGTGCCTACGTTTCGCTCCTTGAATACAACAACATTAAAGGCATGATCTTGTTCTCGGAGCTCTCCCGTCGTCGGATTCGTAGTGTCAGCAGTTTAATCAAGGTCAACCAAACTGAGCCGGTAATGGTCCTCCACGTTGATAAGAAAAAGGGTTATATCGATTTGAGTAAGAGAAGGGTTAGCGAGGAAGATATTCAGGCTTGTGAAGAAAGGTATAACAAGAATAAACTTGTTCATTCTATTATGCGACATGTTGCCAAGACTTTGGATAATGATTTGGAGGTAATTATTGCTTTTTTTCTTCTTCTCCTTTTTGATACGTTTAAGGCTTCTTACAGTTTGTTCATTTGGTTATGAAGTACTTTCAGAGTTTAGCTATGGGTTTTTGGTAATGAATCGAACTAAATTTGGTTGTTTGAGGGGAATCAGCTGGCATTAAAAGATATACAAGTCCATCACTAAAGTTGTACTCTTGATTTCTTTCGATGAAGTGCTAAATAGTTTCCTCTTACCTCAGAAGCAGTCTTTGGGGTTTCCAATCCACTATGGCTCAGATATTTTTAGGATATACTCTTATGCCTTCTGTGGAGACTATATGACCAAGGAAAGCAATCTCGGCTAACCAAAATTCACACTTGGACAATTTGGCATACAACTTCTTCTTGCAAAGTGTCTGAAGAAATACTCAAAGATGAACATTATGTTCTTCTCTTGACTTGGAATACAAAAAAATATCATCTATAAATACCACCACGAATTGATCCAAGTAAGGTTGGAATATTTGATTTATCAAGTCCATAAATGTTGCAGGAGCATTAGTCAATCCAAATGGCATTACTACAAATTCATAATACCCATGCCGAGTTTGAGAATCTATCTTTGAAATACTATACTCTTTGATCTTTAATTGATGGTACTCTAACCTTAGATCTATCTTACAAAACATTGTTGCTCTTTTCAGTTGATCAAATAGATCATTAATCCTCATAAGAGGATACATTTTTTTATCATTATTTTATTTAACTGGTGGTAATCGATACATAATCGCATTGACCCGTTCTTTTTTTTAACAAACATCACAAGTGCTCCCCAATGAGAAACATTGAGTCTTACGAATCCCTTATCGAGTAACTCTTGCAGTTGGGCTCTTAATTCTCTTAATTCAGTTGGAGCCATCTGATATGAAGCCATCGAAACAGGTTCGGTACCCGGGTAAACCTCAATCCTGAATTTCACTTCGCGATCTGGAGGTAATCCTTGTAACTCCTCGAGAAAACATCCAAAAATTCCCTAACTGTAGGGATATCTTCTATTCTAACTTCTAATAGTTGAGTGCCTATCACATTGGCTAGAAAATCTATACATCCTTTTTGACATCATTTTCTTTGTCGTCATGGCTGATATCACATTTGATGGTGATTTCGCTTTTTCGCCAATTACTATGATTTCTTAGCCTTTTGCATCTTTTAGAAACAATCGTATCTTGAGAAAAACGACCCATCCATAATGTGGAGACAACTAATCCATGCCCAAAATGATTTCAAATTCATCGAAGGGAAACTCCATCAAGTTTTCCAGTAACACAATCCTTTTGATATTTATAGGGCATTTTCTATATACCTAAGTTACTCTCGCACTGTGACCCTTAGGGTTTACCGCTATCATCTCACTACCAATTGGTTCTAAAGGAATTCCTCTAGCTCTAACCAATTTTGTACTAATGTACAAGTGTGTAGAACCAGGGCCAACTAAAAATAAACAAGCTCATCAAAAAGATGAAAAGTAACTGTTATGATTTTGGTTCATCCCGATCCTCATTGGCCTTAATGTTGTAAATTCTAGCAACTCTCTGAGTCTCTTGTCTTTGCATTGAATCAAATTGTTTCCTAGATCTACCTCTTTCTCTACTTCTATTAGTGCCTGCCACTGATCTTTCATATTGCGTTGAATTATCCCCAGATTTCTTAGGACAGTTTTGGGCAAAGTGAACAGTCTTGCCACATTGGAAACAATCTCCACTGAGAAGTTTGCATACTCCATGGTGAAATTTACCACATGTTTGACATAAAGTCCTTTCCCCAGATGCTCTACCCGAGCTAGCAACAAAATAATGGGATTGTCTATTTTTGTGTAAAGTTGTTGTAGAACTATCTCTAGTATATCTGGAACTCGAGTCCTTGCCTCTTTTGACAGGATGCGGAGTTAAAGGCATTCCAGTATTTTCCCTGCCTGCAAACTATACTCTACAGCTAAGGTCTCGTTTTGAGCTCTTTCAATAGCCTTGGCTCGGTTTATGACTTCTTATAAACTTGGAAAGTTTAAAGTCAACATCGTCTCTTTCAACTTTGGCCTCAAACCCCTATAAACCAATCACGTCGTGCTTTATCGTTTGAAACTAATTCAATAGCAAAACGACTCAACTTGTTGTACTCAGCCTCGAAGTCATGTATGACTCGATCACCTTGTTTCAAATTAAGGAACTTTAATAGCATTGCCTGTCTGAACTGCTCACCCACATATTTTTTCTTGAATTCTTCCAGGAATAATTACTAGGTCACTTGCTCTGGTGATGCATACATCATAGTATGTGACCATCATACTCGAGCTGATTTTCTAAGTAAAGACACAACTCCACCCAACTTTTCAAGATCCGAACAGTGAAGACTTTCGAGCATTATTGTATATCATTTAGCCATAAGTTGGCCTCCATAGGACCCTCACCCTCTTCTCCCCATAACTCTAGAGCTCCCAAGCTCTTTTGGGATCAACATCCTCAGTACTGGAGGAGACGAGGAGGTTGAAATCGAATCAGTATGGCATCAAGAGCTTGCATAAAAGTTCCAAACTCAGGCACCGAAATCCCCTAATGTGCAGACACACTAGCATTTTCAGATTGGATCGACTGTTCATTATTAGCCTCAAAATATTCGCTACCAGTTCCTTCTCTCATCTCTTGTTCCTCTGCTCTTCGCGAGTTCTAAGATTCTGACATCTATTATGACATACATAATAATAACACTACAATTAGTAAGAAGTGTCTTCAATCACACTCTAATGACACCATATCAGTAACATTGACAATCTTAATGGCATTTAATCCCTTTTTCTAATTTGAAATAAAATTTGTTTCAGCTGAGAATCGACTAAAACTGTAGCTCTGAAACCAATAAATGTAACACTCATCTCATGTATATCTTTCCATAAACGAAATACAAATGTCATATCACTTTTAAAACATTACTCATTTGAAAACGCGTAATTTTTTTTTAATTTTAAAACCACCCAATTTAACACAAAAATGAAATATTCATTAATCATATTACAAAAACTATCACTTTAAATACATTACAAAATATTTTCTTAACTTCAATTTCATGCCAGCTAAGTTTCAAAATGAGTATGATTGTCCTACTATTACTGACAAGTTTAACTTAATTGATGATAGATGTTGCTACTGCTGCACTCCTTACTTAACTAGTCTCCGCTTTTACCTACGCGTAGAAGCCACACACGTTAAGTATTTACTTAGTTAGACATAATATTATAAAGAAACATCAATGTATACATAAGTATATCATAGTTATTTATTTTTGCACTAAATCGTATATTCCTTAAGGTTCATATAAATCCTCCCCAGTTAAATAGATTTCCATTCACACAATTATCATAATTATTCCTAGTAGGCCTAGCATACCTGTCTTTCCTTATATTTTTATTTTTCCATTTATCTCTTCAATAAATATTCTTTATTTTCATTGATGATATCCGTTCATGCTTATAATGCACCATTATGCATTTTCATTTACGGCATCATTTCATGCCGATAATGCACTGTTATTCATTTCATTTATGGGATCCTTTCATGCCAATAATGCACCTTTATGAATTTCATTTATGGCATTCTTTCATTCTGATAATGCACCGTTATGCATTTCATTTATGGCATTTTTTCATTCTGATAATGCACCGTTATGCATTTCATTTAGAGTATCATTTCATGCCGATAATGCACTGTTATGCATTTCATTTATGGCATCCTTTCATGCCGATAATGTACCGTTATACATTTTATTTATGGTATACTTTCATGTCGAAAATGCATCGTTATGCATTTTATTTGTGGTTTCCTTTCATGCCAATAATGCACCATTATGCATTTCATTTATTGCATTATTTCATGCCAATAATACATCGTTATGTATTTCATTTATGACATCATTTCATGCCGATAACGCACAATTATGCATTTCATTTATGGCATCCTTTCATGCCAATAATGCATTGTTATGCATTTCATGTATTCATTTGTTTTAGAGAAGTTCATACTCTAAAACTCATTCATAATATCCTTTCCATACATTTAATGAAAACCTATTAAATATTTTAAAATATACATTAAATTAAAACATTCTAATTTGAGTCATAGCGAATCTTCTTCATCTCAAATAAGTACCATAAATGTACTCATATGGTAATCCTCGCTAATAAGATGTAGTGATGTCTGACTATTCAATAACTTTATCTTTTCCCTTTTTCTTGCTAGACTCAAGAGCTTGGTTATGATCTACACAAGCATCCATTAAAGACATATATACCATACCAAATGTTAGTATATTCTCTAATATTTATACTTTAATAATACTCAAAGTACTATTATTTTAATTCCTATAACAATTTTAACCTATCTTATACTTCCAAGCTTAATAGTATCAATACCCCTACCATGGTATCGATACTTATATACTATTGTACAGATACTCCCTTTCAGTATCGATACCATTTCGACATTTTGGAATCTCTGATATCGATACCTTTCTCTTGGTATCGATACTAATTGCATCAGTATCGATACTAATTGCATCAGTATCGATATTGTTCATCGAAATTCTTCAAATTTAAACATATAGTATCGGTATTGTTCTTCCAGTACCGATACTCCTACCCAGATTTACCATTTTTAGCCCTATATTTTCTAACTTTTCCCTTAAATCTCTTACTTTTACCTCCTATAATACTACTAAACTATTCTAAACTTAACCCAACTAATTTTCCTTTATTTAGCCTCTTATAACTTCTAAAATCTCTTAAGAACATCTTAACCCAAGAATCGTACCATTTTTTCTAACATGTTTTTAATCACATCTCAAGCTTTTTATCTCTTATTTACTTCTTTGACAAGTCAAATATACTCTTAAACCTCAATAAAAACTCATATCTCAATATTTCATTCAAAAAACCATTTCCTTAAATCTCATGTAAAACATCCACCTCTTAGTTTTACTCTTCTTTAAACCTTTCTTAAGCTTACAAATCACTTAATGTTACAAGAGAAAACCAGAATTGGAAGGAAAAACTAGTTAAATGAAGTTTACCTTTTGTTATTGAGGAGAGCACAACCCACGGGAGGAAGAAGAAGAGGAGTAAGTAACTTAACTTAATTTTTAACTTTCCCTTTTTCTTAAATCCATAATAAAATAAATGAGTTTTAAATTCATTACGCTCTAAATGACCAAAATGCCCTTTCAATCATCCATTTTTACTAATTGGTCTTACTCAATCATTCCTTATACTTTAACATTTATTAAATTAATCCTTGAATATTTAAGTTCTTTAAAATAGTCACTAACCTACCATTTGGCGTATTAGAGCTTTGACATCCTAGTGGCATGTACACACTTTTTACATAAAATACACTCATTTTTTACTGAGAATCAGCTAAACCTGTAGCTCTGATATCAATAAATGTAACATCCATTTCTTGTATACATCCCCGTACACGAGTTACAAATGTCACATGACCTTTAAAACATTTTTGTACTTGAAAACCAGTAAAATTTTGTTTCTTTAAATAAAACATTTTAATATAATAATATTAAAAATGTTCATTAACTACTAGTATGTAAAAATAGCCTTAAAGTTTGAACATAATATAATACTACAAACCATATGTCATATACATACGAGAGCATCACAATATACCTAATTACATGCCGATTAGTAATATCAAAATAAACATCTAGAGATGTTATATAGTTATTGATGAGGCAATCTTTGACAGATTATATCAACTGCACTCTTTACTCCGATTATACTTGGTTACCTACGCATGAAACCATCACACACTAAATGTTCACTTAGTGAGGCATAATAATATAAATGATGCGTAACCAAAACATTAGTATGTCATAAAAGATCAAAATACGAATTTAATCGTCTAAATCATAATAAT